AAGTGTAATGGAAGGAATTCGGACTTCAGAAACATTAACCTTCGTATCATCAGTAAATATATTATTGCAAAATTTACGATAACCTATTATATGAAGATGATGAGTAAAATTGCAAAATTTATTAACGACGCATTTCACTCCGAAAGCTTTGGCTTCCTCAGGTTAAGAAAGTTAATATTATTAAGTGTAGGCTTTTTCTTTTTTTCTTTTTCCTTTTTTAATAAAAAAAAGAAAAAAATCAAGACTCAATAATATGAACAAAGAACACAGTCAAAATGTGTAAACTGTGTTCGGAAAATAAAACATTTCTATAACACAAAATACAAACAGGACCCATACACCCAATTAAATTGAAAAATAAAATTATCCTTGATAATGGCTAAAAGTAGAAACAGAAAACACTTCTTCGAACACCAGAAAAATTAAATATAAAGCTTAATCTTAGTACCTTGTCTGTCGTTATATATATATATATATATATATATATATATATATATATATATATAATCATTCTTTCAATAATATTTTTTTCAAAATTTTTGAAGCGTCCCGTTTCTCGTTTCGTGTGCATGTGTAGACGTGGTAACGTCAATAAGACCTAGTTCCGGTTTATCATATTTTTCTAAATACTGTTTGTTGATATATAAAATTATAAAACAATTATATATCGTTATATCATTCATATGCGAGGATTTGCCTTGATAAAATCCCCTAGAATACGAAACACGTTGTATAAGGTAACTTTTCCTTTTGTCTTTATTCATATTGTCCTTTTACATATATACTGTATCTGCATTTTCACACACGCACACATACACACATACATACATACATATATATATATATATATATATATATATATATATATATATATATGAAAGTGGACGTTGAGTTCAACACCCGCCCGCAACGGTCTGCGACCTCATCAAACGAAATCGACAGGCCATATCTATCTATCTATCTATCTATCTATCTATCTATCTATATATATATATATATATATATATATATATATATATATCCAGGTACGATGAGAACGAACAGAGTACAATTAAATTATTTACTAGTTTCTTAAAAAGCCATTTATTTATCAACGAAAATAAAAAATTGTAGAAAATTCACAAACATATAAGTTGTTTACCATTTTGTTAAATTACCCCCTTTTATTTCTTACGAAACTGCATTGTCTGTTTAGTATTTTTTATGTAACCATATATATCCGCTTTAGTTAATGTACGGGTCATGGTCCATTTATAAAAAGTAATTTTTAATTTTGTTTCATCATCTGGTTTAAATGTAACGTAGGTCATATTTGATTGGTTAATCCGAGTAAAACCCTAAAACCTTGTAACATCCATTTTTTCTTTTTTTTTTTTTAAATAACTTGTATTTTGCTGTTAATTCTAAATAAATCGTTCATTCGCCAGTAATTTACAATCGCCTGATGAGATATATATCAATATATTGAAACACGACTGTAATTGTATAGCGATTTTGACATTTTGACTATGGTGATAGGGAGTGATTTCGCGTTGACTTTTTGGATATACTGGTTGAAGTGGTCGTTCATTATCGGACTGTACTGAAAACCTACGTTCACAGATCTGTACACCAATTGGAATCATTTCGCCAAAGGTCCCGCAAGATAAACCTTATTTCTACCTTAGTACAACGCGTGTTGATGATATGTTTTCCTTCCAGGTTTGATAAAGAAATAGTTAACATTTACAGCCTTTTTCAGCGACAATGGACATCTTGAAAATGTCATGAAACGCACAGTTGAACACAAAATTAAATGCTTCAAGCCTCTGCTCGTTTTTGGTCCTGTCTTGTGTCTCGTATATTTGAAATTGATTTGGCAGGGCAGGAAAAGTCAGACACTAGCCAACTGTGTCGGCCTGTATTACATCAGTTTTTTCACCGGCTACGTTATGTGTTGTATTCGGGACTAATCCAGTTTTTTCATCGTTTGTCAAAAATGCTTTGTCCTGCCTCCAAGGAAGTTCTGTTGTTTATAAATTCAAATGTCAGTGTGAAGCTGACTATGTAGGACAATCCAAACAGCGACTCGAAACCCGGATCGGACAACATGTTCCTGTAAATATACGACAGACTATTTTTAATTGCAGTATGTGTTGCATCAAGTCTGTTCACAACTCTGTCATTGGTCAGCATTTACTAGACAATACGAAGTGTGCGATAAGATACAGAGAAGATTCGTTTACTGCTTTCTTCCGGGCTCAGTTCGCTCAGATATCAGAAGCGGTTTTTTGAAAAATTACATTAACCGCCTCTGTGTAGGCAAAAAGAGCATTTTGTTAACTCTCACTTAGTCTTTTAAGAGGTATGTGAGTGAATTTTCTATTTTATACTCACTAGGAACCCTTTACATTGGCTTTTTTTTTGCCAGTATATTTTTTTCATCTCGTTTTTATTAAATTTGTATTTTAGACCTAGTTACTTTTTCTTCTTATTTTTTTCTTTTCTGGCAGTGAGAATTTAATATTTAATATATATCTGACGAAGTGTTACCTGAAAATGGTCCTTAAAGAAGAATGCTCTCCTGCGTTTCCATATATATATATATATATATATATATATATATATATATATATATATACAAGTAACATATTTATGTTATATTTTTTTTATAAAAATAATTATATATATATATATATATATATATATATATATATATATATATATATATATATATATATATATATATATCAAGGTTTTAAAGAAGCTATTTATTTAAAAATTGTAAAAATGTTTTTTATGTAGAAAACTTACAAAGCATATATAAGTTTTCTAGGTTTATGTCAGATTAAAACTTAATTTTTCTTAGGAAATGACGTCGTCTAAATGTACAATATGTATGCATCCACACCCGCTTCTGTTTAATGCCTGTTGCTGCCATTGAAATCTACGTGTTATGACCCAATTAGGAAAAATAATTTTTAAATTTTTGCTTTTTCCCTTAGTTTAAATTTAACGTAGGCCATATTTGATTGATTGATCTAAGCAAAGCCCGTAAACCTTATACTCCCACTTTCCTTTTTTTTCCTTTATTCGTTTATTCGTAAAAGAAGAGGCTGTATTTTGCTTAAATATTAAATATTATTGTATTAAATCTGCTTAAATCGTTCACTCGCCAGCAATTTACAATCGTCTGATGAGATGTGTTGTATTATGCGCTTCGAAGTTCTATGTAATATCCTAAAATAAATATATATATATATATATATATATATATATATATATATATATATATATGAATAGAATACGTGTTGTTGAGTAATCTGCTGCTCAGTGTAGATACATTTCTTATTTGATATCATTGAGCTTCGATCAAAAGTCATATTTTTAGGGGTCATATCGGGTACAAAGTACATAGGACTAACTATCCACGGCTTTATAACGCAATTGGAAGCTATCAAGTTATTTACAGGTAGGAATGAATATATTAATTTTCATAAATTGAAAAGAACGCAACAACATCTGTCAATAAAATCAAGAAAGAGAAAAATAAGCAAAAGAAAATTGCACTTGATGACATTCGAAGATTAATTCGTTGATTTAACTGACACAGCAACAATATCCCAATGCTGACAATTCCAGCCTCATTGTTCTGAAAATGCTAGCATGTCGTTCAATAGCTTTGTATTTAATTAAAACGATTCCATTAATTGCAAGCGGGGGAAACCTTCGTAAGACACGAGGCTAATAATTAAATGAGCCAGTTTAAGTAATAAATAAATGACGGAGAAGGCATTAAGTAAATTACAGCTAAGCCGACACGAACGGGTAGCGGGGTACAAGGCCGGGTTTAAAGTGTCAGTCCCACGCGTCTTTCCTTTTTAAGTGCCGTGTCCTTTCACGAGGTATGCGATTATGGCTCTCCACTTCCCCCTATGCCTTGTAGCACTCAAAATGTTTCGTTCTTTTGCTACTTTTCCCAAACCCGTCATTCTCTTGCTTAAGCCTCTAGGTATGTCACGCGTTGCATTCCCTTGTCTCTCTTTCCCTCTATTCGAACTGTGAGTATCAGATTCTCCAAGCCCTCCTTTCTCATTAGGTGTCCCAGAAATTTCAGCTGTCTCTCCCTGATGTTAAATATAAGCTTCCTTCTTGTCTGCATCCTCTCCAAAACCTCATCGTCGTTTATATTCCCAGTCCATGATATCCTCAACATCCTTCTGTAGAATCATATCTCCGTTGCTTCGAGTCCCTTCTTCATCTTTGAGGAGACCGTCCAACATTCGCTCCCGTAAAAGAGGACAGATGTATTGTAGCAGCTCAGTACGCTTTTGTTTGTTATCAAAGAAATCCTCCTGTCTCGTAATACTCTGCCTAGCTTTAGGAATTCGTCCTTGGCCAGGACGTTTCCGGTTCTCAGCGTCGCACTTACCGACCTCCGTTAAAACATTTCTCCAGATATTTAAACTTGCGCATCTGCTTCATGTTAGTGTCCGCGACCTGTAAATGACATTTCGGGCTCATCCTTTTACTGCTGACCCTGCATTAATAATAAAAAAATTGTGTATTTCCCTTTGTATTTTTATTTTGGGACACCTCAGAATTCAGGAATGTGACATAACCCCCTCTTTTAGGCTTACGGTCGTATCGCGTTGAATACCTGTTCTAGTACGATCACCAAAGTCAAGCAACGTCGACCCTGGTCAGTCCCTAGATAGGAGACCTCTTGGGAATACCAAGTGGAAATTTGGATGTGCAGTAGCGTAATGGATAACGGCTCGGAATTGGAAATCTGGGAGACGAGTTCGAATTCCATTTGGGTTTGTTATATTGACTTACGCACAAATAACATTGGGAAAAGTATGACTCAACCTCTTCTCCACTCAGCTATGGGTCAATTAATATGAGTTTTACCAGTGAATCATGGTTGTCTCCAAAAAAATATATGAAAATATTTTCCGGCTTTACATAACATGCAAAAGGCTGACACTATGTTAAAAAAAAATCAATCACACGCACTTTTAAAAGAACTGGAGAAGGGCTGTCTGGATAGACGTTCGTTCCTCGAGACGGATTTGGATAATTCCAGCCTAGAAATGGATAATCAACTTTGGTGAACTTACATTAAGCTTTTGAGCCCTGACCATCGCTTTACCGGTTGTAGAGAGAAATGATGTAATGCCCAACCACCGGTCGAAAAGTGGAAGAGAAAAATGTCCAGTCTCCGGTTGAACTGTTGGTAAACACTTATACGTATTTTTATATCTACCGTGAAACATCATATACCAATTATTTGCGAATTTTGACTTAGGAGCCCAGGCAAAAAGATTAAAATTGTTCAGGAACGCAGGGCTTAAAAATAATTACGAAAAAATATTACGTAACCCGTTGAAATGTTTACTTTTTTAACTAAACATCTAACTCTCTGATCTGCCATCAATCTACACAAGATTGTTAGGTAGGTTACTTGCTCTGATGCTCTTCAGAATGCCCTGCGCGTGTGAATTTCTCGAAGCTCTAATTCTGCCATACAACACACATTTTAGCGAATAACCTTCATTACCTTACTATTCCATTGGTAAGATCAAGTTCTATTCGATCAGCTTCTTTACAAAAAACTCTGTTTTGTGGAACTGACTCCCAAGGGAATGTTTCCCCGATCACTAAAATAAACTGTTCAGGTCTAGGGTTAACCGTTATCTTCCCCACATATCTCCATAGACTGTACCTCTTAATCTGTAACCCTCTATCTCGAGTGGCTCCCAGGCCTTATACAGAGTGAAAATTATTACAAAAGAGAAATTTGTCCCTGAAATTTCTACTGTCCATTACTGATTCTACTGTTGTTTCCATTTCCTTAAATCTTCCTTGTTAATCACATGCTCCGACATCGAAAAACATTTATTCTAATTGTAAATTATTTCAATGAAAATTAATCGAAAGGACAATTATACTAAATGATAATTATTCGAAATGCCTATGTTTAAAATACTTATGTGGTTTTGGGGAGAGTCAATGCTGAACTAATCACGCACTTGAAGAATACCTATTTTCAGCTTTACGATTCGAATAAATGTTTTTCGAATAATTATTTTCGAACAATGTTCACATAATCAATTAAAGTTGTTAAATATGATAACGTTATGTAATTGTAACTGCTGGGTAATCTTGACATATTAAGGAAGGCTATAGAAAGTGGGAATAGGACAAGGATGTTTCCTCTCACCAGACATACTCAACCATTCCAATCAAGAAATGCTGAAAGAATTAGATGTCGCAACGTAATTCATTATTGGCACTTCAGAAAATCTTACCGGGTATTTAGATGAAAGAGTATATTGAATCTATTGCTAGGTAAGCTGCTAAGAAAATTAGTTCACTGTGTCGTGCGAGTGAAATTTTCTCACCAGAATCTATCTTACACATCTATAAGTCTACTATTCGTCCAAGCTTAAAATATTGCTGCCACATATGGTCCGGTGTTCTTGCTATATATCTAGAGATCCTTGAAAAAATTCAAAGAAGAATCAGCAATATGATTGGCCCTGAACTGAGGTCTCGGCTTCAATCACTTTCCCACCGCAGTTGCGTCACTGTGCCTTTTCTATAAATACTTTCATAACAACTATTCGAAGGAGACTTCATTATAGGCACCTATAATTTATTAATTTAAGGGCAGTAGGCGATGAGGTCTTATCAATCTTTTATGGAACTAATTCTTAGTTGCTTCTTCTCTTCATCTGTGAGTAAATATTCCAGTATACCCTGCCATAAAAAGGACTGACAACATCGCAACTCAATCCCCAAATTCTTTGTTTTTAACGAGTTCTTTTCTGGAAGAAAACCTTTCTCTAATCCTTCAGATTTCAGTGTTACATTTTCCGTCGTCTAATAATACGTTTCCCAGTTAAATTTTTGTCGTTTTTCATTTGGTGATCTCCAATTTGTAGATTGGATCTTGGACGGATCCGCTTGCTGATAACCATATATTCTGTCTTCTTGAAATGAATGGTTATTCCTTTCTTCGGGCTTTTAATAATAATAATAATAATAATAATAATAATAATAACAACAACAATAATAATAATAATAATAATAATAATAAGAAGAAGAAGAAGAAGAAGAAGAAGAAGCTGAGGAAACTATTGACTATTTTAGACTTTGATACTCTACCCTAGATCCAAACGAATTTACATATAAACATAATAGTGTAAGGGAATATCTTAATTGGATGACACGCTAATGTCATTGCCTTCCCCATGCTGAGAAATGTTATGACAACACGCCACAACCAGTCCACAATCATTTCTCTCCAAGCAAATCATTAAAGCCACTAAATTGCAAGGGGTTACTAAGTGTGAGAGAATATGAAGAAAATAAAAACATTATTAAGAAGGGAGAACAATAAAAGAACAGGAATTAAGAAGACATAATATAACGATTGACATTGCATTTGAATTTTTGAAGATCAGTTTTGACTGGGAAAGCCGGAAGCTGGTAGAGACACAAAGGGTTACTAAGTGTGAAGGGATAAGATAAAATAAAATACTATTAAAAAAAGAGGATAATAAAAGATTTGGAATTAAGAAGACAGAAGATAAAGATTGGCATTGCGATTTTGAAGATCGAAGTTGACTGGGAAGCAAGAAGCCGGAAAAATATCCCACAAGCGAGAAGTGCGAGAGAAGACACTTACAATTATATATAGACAACTGCAAAATGATGAGACCTTACCTCCAATCTAATATTGCATTTAAATTCATAAATTCTTGAAACCAAAGTTGAAAGCTAATCAGAATAATTACCATGAAAAATACAGGGAAGCTACATTTTCTTTTTGTTTCTGGGTCCCGGCCACCGTCCTCTGTTATCATTGTTCTCAAATTGCTGAGTATTTAAAAAAAAAAAACGATTCCACCCCAATCAAGGCAATAAAAGCACTAAGAAGCAAGTGGTTAGTCGGTGTGAAAGAATATGAGAAAAAGAAAATCATTATTAAGGAGAGAGAACAATAACAGAACAGGAATTGAGAAGCCAGTAGATAAGGATTGACATTGCATTTAAATTTATGAAGATCAAAGTTGACTGGGAAGCAAGAAGTCGGAGGAGAGTTCCACAAAGGAGAACTGCGTGAAAATAAACCGTTAGCATAGAATTAGGGTTAGATCGTGCCATTTCAACTGTAAAATGGTGAGGTCTTGCTCCCAATCTAGTTTCAATGAAATACAAAATATTGTGTTTATGAACATTCAGTACAAATTATTTCAGTCGAATCCATTACATTCACTTACGTGCTAATACCCTTGGGAAAGGTGTGAATCCTCTTCTTCTCCAACAGCTATGGGTAAATAGCATGGCAGACTGGGTTCTATAGCCTTGGATGGCAACTGGTCTAGGAGAAGAACAACTCTGAATTCAAAACCTGCAGAGGGTCATTTGTGCACCTTGTGGCACGTAGTACACCGGGTCTCTGTATTTGGCCCTTCAAAAAGTGTGGATGGTCCTGCACAAAACCTTCACCACTATAATCAATTCTCAAGTACTGTTGTCTGGCTGTAGGTTCTTGGGGTACTACGGGAGAGTTCACAAATTTCACTTTCTAAGACCTTCGTTTAACTTATTTTCTGAGTAAAAAGTAGTAAATGTATGTATCAGATAGCAAATCAGGCAAACTGCAAAATAATAATAATAATAATAATAATAATAACTGAAGACATTTTCTTGCTTCACAAGCCGAATGCTTGCTAACTAGTAACAGGAAATTGTGTTAACACAAAATGTGGATTCTGTGATAAATATCCAGAAACAATTGACCATCTTGTATCAGGTTGCATAGTGTTAGGACCCACTGAATAAAACTCGGCATTATAAAGTGGACCTGTATCTTCACTGGAATATATGCAACTTTTACTGAAAGGAAACTGCAAGAAATTGGATTAACATCATCGAGACCAGGTTACAGAGATATTGAAATATTACAGAAATTTGAAAATTGCTCTCTACGTAAAGTTATTTATTTTGGAGAGTAAAAATTTGATATCTGCTGAACGGTATTACACGAAACTCTGGAGTCGGTCAAAAGATAAGTTGCTTGAACTTTTATTAATTAACTATTGTCGCTCTATTTACCTATTGAAAACTTCCGTTAAAAGTTCCCCTGACAAAAAAAAAAAAAAAGAAAAGAAAAAGGAATCGATCTTAGTCGGGATCATCGAGTCAATGCAAACGATCTATTTCCTTAGCTGTATTGTATGTGCTTCACCAGGACTACATGAAGTTTTGAATCCAGAGTTTTCCTTCTCATAGACCGGTTACCAACCAAGGTTTTAAGAACCCAGTATATCCTTCTATTTAACGATAGCAGGGGAGAAAAGAATTGGGTTAATAACTTTCCCAAGGATATCATCAAGTAAATGAATTCAGTGAACTCAACTGGAATTCGAACTTGGCTTTCTAGTTCCAAATTTCGAGCCACAAGTATTGCGCTACCGTGCTTCCAGCTGACTTGGTAATACTGCACGTTAGTTTATAGCATTGACTACGTATATATATATATATATATATATATATATATATATATATATATATATATATATATATATATATATATATATATATATATATATATATATATATATATATATATATATATATATATATATATATATTAAAAATAATTGTCAGACTTGGACATTAAAAAATATATTAAAATAATTGTCAGACTTGGACCATTTCATAACATGCACACACACAAATATATATGTTTGTGTGCGTGTTTGTGCATGTGTTATGAAATGGTCCAAGTCTGACAATTATTTTAATATATTTTATTGTTATACGTTATTTATATAGACACAAATATTTAAGTAAATGCTCTGTTTATAATAAACAGTATTAACAACACTCAGGCCGGTAAATGTTGTTAATAATGTTTAGTGCATTTACTTAAATATTTGTGTCTATATAAATAAATAAACAAAGTATAATATATATATATATATATATATATATATATATATATATATATATGTGTGTGTGTGTGTGTGTGTGTGTGTGTATATATGTATATATATATATATATATAGCAAGAGGAAGAAGAAAAACCATGGCACAGAGAGAGAGAGAGAGAGAGAGAGAGCGAGAGAGAGAGAGAGAGAGCGAGAGAGAGATAATGAGTAAGAGAAATAAATAATGAGAGAGAGAAAGATAAATAAGGAGGGAGAGATAGAAATAAGGAGGGAGAGAATCAGGACAGAGAGAGAGAGAGAGAGAGAGAGAGAGAGAGAAATAAATAATGAGGGGAAAAAGAAATAATGACAGATAGGGAAATAACGAGAAAGATAGAAATAGAGAGAGAGCGAGCGAGCGAGAGAGAGAGAGAGAGACAGGTAAATAGCGAGAAAAAGAAAGATAAATAATGAGAGAGAAAGAAAGACAGGGAAATAATGAGAGTAGGAGATAACGAGAGGCAGAAAGAAATAATGACATAGAGAGAGATATAATAAGAGAGAGAGAGAGAGAGAGAGAGAGAGAGAGAGAGAGAGAGAGAGAGTGTGAGGGGGAAATCAAAATAGACTCAGGTATCTGGTAGATGAATATTTCTTCAAAAATGTCGATGATTGTGTTTTCGTCTGTTGAAATGACGTCAGGATAATAAGTCCCAGAAGAATTTTCTAAAAGGATTAATTTCGATTTACGGCTGGCGTCCGTCTTCATAATGAAAAGAACGCAATAATGACAAAGCCAAAAAATTAAAAAAAAAACAGTCTTCATTAAACAGTGACGAAGGAAGAAGTTAATGTCGGCAAAATGAAGAGAAAGACACTAGATATGAAAGTTCAAAGGGGTTTTGTTTCTCATATAATAAACGATTTTTTTTCTGAAATAAAGTTAGGAATGCTTACACTATTTGTCATAATAGCGACAATGTCGTCTTCATTGTTTTTATTCGGAGTTAAAATTGTTAAAAAGAACAGAATAAGTCAGAAATTATGATGATGAATAGCAAATAAAAAAAATGAAAGAAGGAATTTGTTCAGAAAAAATCAACATTGAGAAAAATGAATGACGAAGACAAAATAATTTACAATATGGCTAAATTATGAAGAATATATAAAGAATTCGGCTAATAACGGGATTTTCGTATTTTTATTTTTTTGTTTAGTGGCATATCAACGTCTGTATGGGTTATTTAATGCTGAAATCTAAATATTTTGTATGCTATTTTATGACTTCAACTACAAACATTCTGGACATAATTTTATACTTTCAGGGCAACCGTATATACGTCAGTTCAGGGTAGGCCTGAGAACAATAGCGATCATGAGGTCGTTTCAAATCCTCCAATTTCTTGATCAGAGGCCTAGCTGCTGGATGTAGTTTATCGTCACACCGTGGACTAATTTAACAGGATATGCATTGTGATGTAAGGTATAAAGGCTAGGAATGAGAAATACAACAGCCGAGTTCAAATTCCCGTTGTGTTCGTTACATTCAATTAGGCACAAATATATTTTCGGAAAGGGGTATGAATACATCTCTTCTATTAACAGCTATGGGGTTGAATAGCAGGACATACTGGGTTCTATAGCTTTGGATGGCAAACAGTCTACAGCAGAAAGAAACAACAACCTAATTTGGGAATATCTGCCTAGTGGGTCATGAATCGAAAGAGACATGATCACTCAAGCGGGTAGCAAATATGGCACAACTAATTGATGGCAATTAAAAGGGACATTTTTAAAATAGATAGGAAGGAGATTCAAAAATTCATACTTACCGTAGACAGTATATCTAAAAAAGGAAAACGAAAACACCAAAGTTGAAGGGCTTTCTTTCCCAATTCCTTTCATCGAGGACTTCGAAGATTTTGAAAGGCGAGTAAATTTAAAAAAAAAAAAAATTAATAAAACATAAGAATTTTTTGAAAATTATTTCACCCTAAGCAAGGTGGGAATGCTATTAGTGCTAGACAGGGGATTACAGGGAGTTAAAGTGAGAGAAAAGGCTGTTCATAGGGAGGATTGAAGAAAACAGAAAAGATGAAAGGGATTCAAGAAGACAGAAAATGGCGATTGACGTTGCATTTAGATTTTTGAAGATTGTATTTATCAGGGAAGCAAGAAAAAAAGGAAGGGAGTTCCACCATCGGAAAGTGCGAGAAAAGAAACTATTGGAGTAGAAGTAGCGGTTACATTTAACTATTTGAGAAGTAAAAAGGCGGAATCAAGATGTCAATCTAGTAGCAGGCTTAAAATCATGAAGTCAGGGCACCAGGGAGGCGGGGGTGGAACCCTTGTCAGAACAATTGCCATGGAAATATTTGTAGAAAAGACAGATTAAGACACGTCACGATCGATTATATTACAGATTCTTTGGCATACAAAAATAATATAACAAACACACACAAACACACACCCACACAAAGAAAAGAAAGAAGAATTAAACATAGGATAGGATGACCTAGATGTGATTTTGTCATTAATGACTGAATAAGTTAATATACAAAGTAAGAGAGCGGTTGGTCAAACTTAAAATAGATACGTTAGTAGTCGTGCCATTTTCGACAGGTAAAGAATCACGATCGCATTAAAATCATCACAATTTCAAATTAATAATAATAATAATTGACATCAATAAAATGATGTAAGTTAAATAAAATAAAAATTTTAAATATATTAATTAAATAAATTTAGTCAGTTATGTGGCATGCATGAAACACGCGTAGGGGATGATGTATCTTTCGATACATGACTGACGAGGAAGATTTTTTCCCCACAGTAGGTCGCGATTTCTTTCTGCAGTGGGCCATTGGCCACTCAAGCCTGTAGAACCCGGTCTGTCCTGCTACTTACCCATAGCTGGGGGGGGGGGAGCATTCATACCTTTCTCAATCTGAATGAAACGGATTTGACTACAATTCGAACACGGCTCACCGATTCCTCAATCCTAGCTGCTATCCATTACTCAACCGTGCATCCCCCGTAAGATGTAAATAAAGAACAAATTTAAAGAAATTATATATATATATATATATATATATAATTTCATATCATGATGCATATGTCTGATACCACAGAACTTGGAAATAGTTTTAAACAGATAAAACCTTTTTTTTCGGCGACTAGTATGATGTTGGTTGAAAACTAGGAACTACGATTAAATTACAATTTATTATTAAAAAAGAGGAGAAAAAATTGAAAGAAGGGGAAAATGGCAAAAACCAGAATGAATAGTTCCAGTGATTATAAAAAGGAAAATATAGACTCACAAGCCACCCGCCACCCCTCGCCCAGTAAACAAAGAGAACGAATAAATTTATTTCTAGATATGTGTGTATGGGAGGGGGTACGTGTGTGTGTGCGTGAAAAATTCAATTGAAGTATATCTGTAAAATGACAATAGGAATAAAGACAATAGCAAAACTTATCTTCGCCGATCCGATTTGTCTTCTGAGGGGCTTTATAAAGGCAAATCCTCCTTGGTAAAGACCCTCATACGACGAAACGCGTCGGTTAAGAGTTTTCCTTTTGTCTTTATACACACACACACACAACACACACACACACACACACACACACACACACACACACACACACACACAGACATATATATATATATATAGAGTATGTGTGATTCATTAAGACGGATTAGATATAAGGGTGTTTCATTAGGACGGATCAAAGTGAGCAGTAAATAAATCAGTGATATTGGTAAAAATTTATTTATTTCTCTATTGGACCATGTTATTTAAGTCATGGCAATTATGTGTGGAAAATAATATCGCCCAAATGTCTGCCAAATCTGAAAGAAAAAGAAAACAAATCATTACAAGTTTAAACTTAATTCACATTTAAAATCGGAACACCCTTTATGCACACACACACACACACACACACACACACACACACACACACACACACACATATGTATATATATATATATATAATTTATAACTGAAAGATATTTTAAATAATTTGACTCCGACCAATTTTATTAATTTTAACGTGACATACCACTCGGCCTGACGTGGTTTAGTATTTAGCAAGCTTGTCTAGCGAGATCAAAAACGACTGAATATTGTGTTCGATCCAGAGTGGGTACTCCTTAATTTCGCCCTTGTTCTCCATCTAAGCTATGCTTAGAAAATCCCTACACCATAATGCCTGCGATTAATATTCTTATAAGATTATAAATGAAAGCTATAATCTTAAATCACAATAGCGACTGTCATTATGATTATTACTGTACAATGTACTTTGCTAACAAAGAGCTACCACAAGTGTAATGATACAAACGACAATAAGAATTACAACTGAAATAAATGGAACTTTAGATAAGGACTGTGAAGTGTGTGGATTTAGATATCGTGAAGGCATTTGAAAATGTTTACTATACTCTGGTCTTGTTCACTGAAGCTGAAGGGTTATGCTGTCTCCGGCCGAACTAATCTTAACAAATCGCGTAATGAAAAAATACTGAACGGCGACTCTTCTAGATCCCCGGTCTTTTGAATAGAAGTAGAGGTTTATTACTTATTTCTTGTTTAGGATCGGGTTTTCATTTGCGATCAATGTTCGGAAAATCTGATACTCACAGGTCGAAAGAGTGATAAGGGAAAGTAACGCGTGACATACTTAACAGGCTTAAGCAAGTGGATGGCAGAAACAGGGTTTGGGAGTAATAAGAAAAAGACAAAACTTATTGAGACAAGGACAGGAGAGCCATGATCGCCTACATCCTGAGGGGTCACGACACATAAAAGAAGAACGCTCTGTTGGTGACAGTCGGTCAGACCCAGATATGTAGACATTTGATATTCACTACATACGCGGCATAATTGGCTATTATTAAGTTTCAGAATAATAATAAATAATAATAATAATAATAATAATAATAATAATAATAATAATAATAATAATAATCCTGTTACGGAGATAGGACCTGTAATAATTTTATGGGACTACACAATAGACACCGGCAGAACAATCAAAGCTAATCGCCAATACATCGTTATTGTCACCTTATTGATATGTCAGTCCCTGCAGACTACATTGGATCTTTGAAGATCTTCAAAAAGCTATCAAAATACAAAGAAATCTTGAAAATGAAATCTCAAAACTATGGCATATGAAGACATCAACAATTCCTGTTGTAGTTGGAACCCTCGGATTCCAGTAGACTCATTGAAGGGACCTTCGATAGCCCTTGCCTTAAAGAAATACAAAAAAAAAAAGAAAAAAAAAAAAGAAAATTGTTCTCCCGAGTATGGCCCGAAGAGTTTTATCTAATGTAAAAATTTTTTTTTTTTTTTTTTTTAAATGCTCAGTGGAAAATGTCATGATGCCATTTCTTTAGGTCTCTGGTCGGGACCCGGAAACATATGAGTACACACTAGAAACTAAAGGAAATTATATAATAACATTATTATTATTATTCATTTATTAATATTATTATTATTATTAATTTATTAATATTATTAATATTATTATTATCATCATTATTATGTTTTCCAAAAAAAAAATGAAAAAGTGGATATGAAATTAACGCAAGAGGAACGGTCGATAGGTTATGTTTTATGATTTATCAAATACCTTGCATGTTATTTAAAGTCAAAATGTATTTTAAATAGTAAGAAATTTTAACATAATAGTGAGTAACTGATAAGATTCCTATTAATTAACCCATAACATTCAGCGGTATTCAGCCCTTTCCCA